TAGATAGATAGAGAGAGAGAGAGATATATAGAGAGAGAAAGAGAGCAAGCAAGTGTAAGAGACAGCAAGAGAGAGGGAGAGTGAGAGAGAGAGAGATCGAGGGAGAGAGAGAGATAGAGAGAGAGTGAGAGAGAGAGAAAAAGAAAGAGAAAGAGAGAGTGAGAGAGCGAGAGAGAGAGATAGAGAGAGAGAGAGGGAGAGAGAGAGAGGGAGAGAGAGTGAGAGAGAAAAATCAAGAGAGAGAGAGAGAGAGAGAGAGCAAGTGAGTGGTAAGAGAGAGAGATAGATAGATAGATAGATAGATAGATAGAGAGAGTGAGTGAGTGAGAGAGAGAGGGAGAGCATGGTAGAGGTAGACCTTTAAAGACTTGGTTAGAAAATATTAGAAATGATCTTTCTTTATTAGATTTAGATGAGAATTTAACTTTTAACATGCCTTAGACTTGAATTATGATGGCCAACTTTAGAGTCTAAAGGTTTTCGCTTGAGTAGATCTAAAACTGAATATATGGAGTGTAATTTTAATGGAAATAGACATAGTGAGGGGATTGTGACTTTGTGTGATAAAGTCATTAATAAGATACATGTTTTAGATATCTTGGATCTTTTGTTCAGAGTGGTGGTGAAATATAAGGGTATATTATCAGCACAATCATATTGTTGATAAAGAACATTAGGAGATGTAAAGAACATCCTCTAGTTCATCTAACGATGACTGCTAACTCAACCTAGTACCTCCAAACGGAAGTGCACAACGGGTCCATTTGTGATGCAGCAATCATGCCTTGTGTGATAGAATAGTCTCCCTCAAACTTTAGTAAAAATTCTATAAGATGGTGGAAAGATCTGTAATGCTTTATGGTGTCGAATCGTGGTCAATAAATTAAAGAGAAGGATGAGTGGCTTGACCCTTAGAGATATGATACGAAGTGAGCATATCTAATGGAAGATAAGGTTAGAGAGAGTCGCTTTACATGGTTTATTGACATTAAACAGAGGCTTCTGATGACCCGGTAAGGAAAGTTGAGTTATTAGATTTGACTTTAATATACTTGTTTTAAAGTATAGCACGTTTATACATGTGTTCTAATAAATGTTTTCATAACTATGTAGGGAGACGTTTGCTTCAACATCCAAATGACTATCTAAGAAGAGAGATGTTGGATGTATAACAGATTATTGCCGAGTCGAAAAGGATTGATAGTTGAATTTATACAGAGAGTTGAAACTTTCATTCAAGTTGTATCTTAATTGCCTTCCTTTCAGTTTGATAAAATGTTTATATGTCCATGTTCGAAGCATAAAAATCTAGCATTCCTCAAGCCCGATAATGTGAAGCTTGATTTATATCGTAGGGATTTCTTTCAAACTAATGGATTTGGACATCACATGGCGAGTACGAGCCACACAAAGATGCTCATGCTAGTTCATCTACAGCTTATAAACATTTGATGAAGATCAAATGAATAGACCCTATGAAGAACTTATTTTTGATGTAGCATGTCATAATTTAAGGTCTAGTGTGGAAGAGCCACCAAATGCAGAAACATAAAATTTTTTTGAGTTATTACATTCAGCTCAAAAATTAATTTGGGATGGTTGCAATACACATTCAGAATTATCCATTGCTGTGAGGATGCTAAGTATTAAAACTGAGTATAATATTCCCCGTGATTGTTTTAATGACTTTATTGGTCTTATGAAGAAAACTAATCCAGCGGGCAATTTAATTCTCTCAGATTTGTACTGAACGAAGAAATTAGTATCCAAGCTGGGTCTCACTACTACAAAAATTGATTGTTGTATCAATGGATGTATGTTATACTACAATGATGATGCAGCAGAAGTTTATTGTCGCACCTGCAATGCTTCTCGGTTTAAGTCAAACTCGGGAAAACAATGTCGTCAAAAGAAAGATGTGTCATATTCTCATTTATTTTATTTATCAATCATTCCAAGACTTCAACGACTTTATGCATCAATGAGTTTAGTAGGCCATATGAAATGACATAAGGAGAAAATATCAAAAAGTGGTGTTCTTTCTCATCCATCAGATGCTGAAGCGTGAAAACATTTTGATCGAGTGCATGCTTCATTTGCTGCTGAACCCCAAAATATAAGATTGGGATTATGTGCTGGTGGTTTTATTCCCTATAGTCAAACTACTACACCATACTCTTGTTAGCCAGTTATATTAACACCATACAACCTTCCATCAAAGATGTGTATGACTACTCCGTACATGTTCTTAACTCTTATAATATCCGAACCACAGAATCCGAAAGCAATAATTAATATTTTTTGCAACCATTAATTGATGACCTCAAGTTATTATGGGAAGGAGTGCTCACACATGACATATCAACAAAACAAAATTTTCTCCTTCGAGTTATATTGTTGTGGACCATTGGTGATTTTCCAGCTTATGATATGTTGTCTGGTTGGAGCACAGCAGGAAAATTAGCATGTCCTTACTGTATGAAGAATGGTAAAGTTTTCACACTAAAATATGAAGGGAAAAATACTTGGTTTGATTTTCATCGTATGTTTCTACATGCTAATTATCAGTTTCGGAGAAATAAGGAATCATTCATTAAAAATAGAGTTGAGCGGTCGCTTCCTCCACCCAGATTAAGTGGTGATGATGTACTACAAAGACTTTATGATATTCCAACAATTAATGATTTTCCAATGCTATCAGAGTCTAAATTTCTGATTTATGGTGTTAAACATAATTGGATTAAAAAAATATTTTCTGGACATTACCATATTTGAGAACTAATTTGATAAGACATAATCTTCATGTTATACACATTGAGAAGAGCTTCATGGATAATATTTTTAATATAATTATAGATGTTAAATGTAAGAGTAAAGATAATGTCAAAGCAATGATGGACATTAAAGAGTACTGTCGGCGAAAAAATCTGGAGTTAGTAACAACAATCGACGGTAAAATAATGAAGCCCAAAGCTCCATACTCTTTCATGTTAGAGCAAAAAAGATCGATATATCAGTGGTTTAAAGGTTTAAAAATGTCTGATGGCTATGAATAAAATATAAGCTGATGTGTTGACATGAAATCTGCAAGGTTATTTGGACTCAAAAGTCATGATTGTCACATAATTATGGAGGTTCTTATTCGGATCATAGTTTGTATATTACCATATTACATATCAAATCCATTGATTGAACTTAGCATTTTCTTCAAAGACCTATGTTTATCTAAACTAAGAGAAGATGCTTTATGATGGTACGTGGATAACATATCAATCATCATCTACAAGTTAGAAAAGATATTTCCTTCGGGTTTTTTTGATTCTATGGAACATCTTCCAGTTCATCTACCTTACGAAGCTAGAGTTGGTGGACTTGTACAATATCATTGGATGTATCCTTTCGAAAGGTAAAACATATTTTTATTAGTCTCCAATATTTTTGAATAAGTTGAGATAATATATTTTTATTAACTTGATAATTTTTATTATTTAATAGATATTAGAATAAGTTGAAGAAATATGTTAAGAATAAAGTACGACTAGAAGGATCAATATGTGAAGCGTATTTGTCTCAAGAAACCACTCACTTTTGCTCCTACTACTTCGTGCCTCGTGTAAGGAGTACAAGAACAAAGATTGGTCATAACATGGACTTCGATGTATAAGAACAATCACATGCTGTACTATTAGTATTTAAAAGGCAAGCAAAGCCCAGTGGCAAATGTGTTGAAAGATTTCTCAACGATTTAGAAATAAAAACAGTGAATTTGTATGTGCTATTGAACTGTGAAGAAGTTGAGCAAATCATATAGTAAGTTCTTGCATAATATTAATAATGAGTAAGGTTTATTTAAAATACTAGAGTATTATTTGTCATCAAGTATTTCGTAAGCAATTTGTCTTTGACAGATTCGATGGATATTGAGCAAGCTGTTGCAAATGAATTTTTAACTTGGTTTAGATCATATGTGAGCACATCAATTTTAAAAATTTAAATCTTATTTATCATAAAAAATACTAATATTTGAAAATATTTCTAGGTACAAAATCCTGATAATAAATATTTCGATAAAGATTTGCAAGTACTAGCATGGGGTCCAATGCTAAAAGTAAAAACTTGGCCAATATATATAGTGAATGAGTTCAGATTTTATACCAAGTCTTGGAGTGAAGGAAGAAAAACTGAAAATTGTGGAGTATGTGTCAGAGGGAACACTCATGAAGAAGATGAGTGTGAATATTATATTATTCTAAATGAGGTTCTTGACCTGGAGTACCTAGGCAAAGATGAGAACTTTGTATGCTTGTTTAACTATCAATAGTATGATTCAGTATAGAATAGAGGTGCAATGGTTCATCCTACGTATGGTTTAGTAGATATAAAATATAGTATAAGATATGAGAAGTTTGATCCATTTGTGTTAAGAAGTCAAGCTATTCAAGTTTATTTTAGCAAAAATCCAGTGGTCGTAGAGACAAATAAGATTGATTAGCTGTTATAAAAATAAAAGCACGGGGGATAATTGATCAATAATACATTGTAACAACTACACATGAAGAGGATGAGATGTCAAGTTGTAGGCCTGTTGAAATTGAGGAGATGCCAACTATAACATCTAGTATTGAAATAGAGTTAGAAGATGTGAATAGTTCAACTAGCTCAGGCGAAGATGAGAACGAGGATGAAAGTGAAGATATCCTTGACAACAATGAAAATAGTTTGATGATTCTAGGTAGTTTTTGTAATTTAGAATTATAGAATTTTACTATTTTGTAATATTTTAAATAGTACTTTTTGAATTTTAAGAAATAAAAATGTTAATTATTTATTTATATTCTAGCATTTTTTATTTTTATAATTCATTAATTGCTTTATTAATTGCTTCTTTTTTGTATTATGTTATATTTAAAATTGTAGAATTGTACTTTTTATTAATTGCTTCTTTTATTTATACTTTTTTATATATTAGATTTCTTTACTAATTGCTTCTTTTAATGTAGATGGCTTCAGGCGACGATCCTCCTCGTAAATCACTTGCCTCAAAGTTCCGCCGGAAGAAGTTTACTGTTACTCCCAGCAGAGCAACACAGCCTGATGAAGGTGAGGGACCTTCAGTTCCATCGGTTCTACCTACACCACCACCACCACCTAGGGCCAACAGCAGTCCCCGAGTGAGCAGGGTCAGGGTCAATCAGATCCACCGGTTCTACCTCCATACTTCCCTGGCCACTTCCCTCCCTCGACGAGTCCTCACTTCCACACATGCTGCTCCATTATATCCATATTACCCCCCCACCATCATCACAGGTAGCAGGTCCATCCACTAATCCTCACCCTCCTTATCCCTACCCATATTATTACCCCTATCCGATGCAGTATGAACACGACAAACCATGTAGACCAGTGGAGGTTGGCGCTGGGGGTCATGAAGCTGCAACATATAAGCGTCAATACATTGAGCCTGAGAGCGATAAGTAAGTTCAATTTATGTTATTAAGTTGTTTGTATTTTGATATATTATATGTTATTGACAAAAAAGTAACATGCAGCTTCAATCCTTTAAGACCACCTATACACATGATTCGGGATGTTATAAAGAACAAATATGATGCTCCTTACTTATCCTGGAAGAAGATCCCAAAGCCGATTAGAAATATGTGGTTTGGAGAATTTTAGGTATACTTATTTGGTATGATTTCAAATATGTGATTTAATTTGTACTAATCTTTTTGGTAATGCCTAAATTTTTACATAAAGAATTTAGGTGGTTGCCTGAGCATAGCACGAGGATCAGAACCAATTTTGAGAGGAGAGGAGCGACCCGTCTCAG